TCACTGGAAAAATGTAGAATTATTTTTTTGCTTCTGTTTGAATTTTTTTAATGTCTACTTTGTCTACTTTGTAGTCATTGAGAGGTGAACTGCTCTCCACATTTAGCGTCAATATGTGCTTTTAAACCATTTTCCCATTTCCCTTAAAAAGCTCTCATACGCACATTTAGACTAAAAAAAAAATACAAAAAAATGGAGGATTTATGACTACGCATACTCTTCTTTTTACCATTTTTATAGCGACAGTCTATCAGGTTCGCGTCAGAACGGGAAATCTGCATGGGGGAGGCACGTCAGCCCAAGTCTATTTGACGTTAGTTGGGGACGCATCGGAGTCTGGCGAGTTCATCTTCTCCAACTCCAAGGGGCGCGTTTTTGCCAAAGATCGTGAGGCCGTTTTTAAGGTAGACTGCTTTACAAACACATCTGTCCAACCATCTACTAACCGAAAAAATAAAATAAAATAAAATCTAAGCTTCACTTATTCATATTTAAGCGAGCCAATCAAGTCTGTCTTGACAAAGGAAACTATGTGGAGTTAAGACTTTATTGACCACCTAATAAAAGACAAAGGCTCCCCACTCATGCTGAAAACTGGTTTATTTGACAGAACTCTTTGTCGGTTTCGATGTTAACAGATTCGTTCACACTAAGTCTATAAACGCATTCAGGCGTCTTTCATCTCCAAATTCAGGAGGGTGTTGGCAAGATCTCTGCAACCGTCGATTAGTGTCCATCACGGGGTCACACTTTCTGGAAGGCCAATAAATACCGGTTTTGAGGAAACTAATCGTTTTGTTTGCTTGGATAATCTACTTAAATCTTTTCAGTAGCACACGGGTTATTTTAAGTCTCATTGTTATCGGTTTCGGCAATATGCACATACCCAGAAGTTTGTTTTTGTATGGTTTACACAAAATTTTAAGTGAGTGTGATTTACAAAAGTTATTCGGTTTGCAATTGAAGGCCTTCTGAAAACCGGTAGTTTAACTTTAACGTCCTCTCTGTCATGGTTTTTTTTTGTACTTTGCGTTCCTACAATACTTGTCTCTTGTATGCTTTTCTGCGGCATTTTTCACATTTATTGTACAGTGGATTTACTTCTCTGCAATGATCTTGATCCCTTCTCCATTTGGTCTACATACATTGAAGTAAATTCAAAACACTAATTTTCCGTTCACTGAAGGGCACTGACATTGTCTTATGGACACTACTATTTTTCTTTACTTTTCTGAGGGAAGATTGTTTGAATGGGAATGACTTCTATTGTCTAATGCATGCATTCCTTAGGTTGAGGCTGCTGGCTTGGGAAAATTGACTAAAATTCGCCTACGACACGACAACAGTGGTCCAAGTCCAGACTGGTACCCACGCGACGTAACAGTGAGTGAAATTGGGAACAGTGATGAGCGTGTCTACTACTTTCCTTGCAATCAATGGTTGGCTGCCACCACAGACGGGTCGGGTCGTCTGGTGCGCGAGTTCACTGCCGCTCCACTGAGACAGCGCAATGTCAGGCCCGAGGACATTCCCGTCAGTGCCTATGCCGACGGAACTGCTCAAATGACTCAACAAAGTCCACCTTTCAAACGATCCGAGGATGGGAGCCTCACGATGCTGGGTACAAATATTGACATTGCGAATTTTTAACAGTTTTTTTTTAAAAAATACTTTCATAGACTCCTGGCAGTGCTTTTAAATCCGGTTTTATTTTTTC